AATAGCATGCTCTTTTGTTCTGTGATTTGGTCTCGCTTTACAGAGACAATTAACTGCATGTACTCGAGCCCAGACTACATTCATGTATCTGAATTAGTACTTGAATTCTTATAATGTGATGGAAAATGGTTGTATTACACACATACTCCAAGTAAATTATCGCCATCCACTTGTCACTGTCCACTAACAGGCTTCACTTTCCCTCTCACACATACAACCCACTGAAATTTATAGAAATAAGACTGGTGGAAACAGGATGAGAGACAGAACAACTGTCCGAGAGAGAGAGGAGGTAGGTTAGGACGCCATGACAGAAATACTGTGAGTGACAGAAAAGGATAGATGAAGCACAGAAAGCAAGGGTGAGGGTAGGGAATAGAGTGTCTTGAATCACTATTGGCTGAGAGGTGGTTTGGTCCCTTTCTTTAACTTTCACTCTAGCTCTCCTTCCCTCTTGCAGCTGCCCACTTTCTACTCATCATCATTGTGCCTTTGTCTGCACCCACCCTAAGATTTAATGTTCCTTAACACTCCTTTAGTTAAAAAGGTACATCGAATTTCCTGGGCTTATTCTGTGCACCAAGTGTGTATGCATCAGGATCTAGTGAAATTCACCATTACCTGGCTCCTTCACAAGAAAGAAGCCAATTAGCAGACAGCCTGATCAAACAGTAGGCACATTGTGCTCTACTGCACTCTGGGTAAGAGTGGGTACACTCCAAATTGTGACCAGCACAGTCTGCTCTGAAAGAGATGGGTGGAGCAAATGAAATGGAACATACCCGAATCTGCATTCAGTAAGAGTTTAAAACTGGCACTTGTACAAACAAGGTGAACAAAATGTATTTAACAAAAAAACAAAATTACTGATGGCAGACAGAAGAGTACGTTTGATTGGTTGCACCTGGTTAGAAATGGCAAAGGAAAAAAGCAGGATATGAGTATCATACTGTGTACGTATGCACAAAGGTCATGGGTAGGTCTGGTGTCTTATGGCAAGCACTCAAATATAGGGTTAGATCTGAGTGCTGTGCATTCTTCTATCAGAGGTTACAGTTCTTGAATTTTACTTCATGGCTTCATCACTGAGGTTTAACTCAACCAACATGGCTATTTCTTACTCGAGAGCATCTCTGCTACGATCTGTTCGATGGGTTCTCCAAAGACGGATAAAAACATGTCATAGTTACAACTTTTTCAACATAAAAAAGCAAAACAAAACAATACTAGGCCAAATATCATTGGTCACAGTTGTTGTTCCTTGGGGTGCCTCAGGAGAGAATCTATTTGCTGTAATCTCAGAGCGAATGATTGCAGCAGTTTTGACCAAGAGCAAACTGCTGCAACCTGTGGCAGATCTCAAGAGTGTTTCATATCCGTGTCAGTGCCTCCCCGAGGACTCCCCGAGGACCGAGTGCAAGTCTTAGTGGATCCAGACCCATGTTAGGTATTCAGGAGAAGCAGTGGAGCAACAGCCAAGGAGGTGTCACAGCTGATGCTAAATGTACCCTGCCTTTGCCACCAATGCACACACTTTATGTCCTGTCCTTCTAACAGTATGATATAAAAAGTATACTGCACACTGTGTGTATATGTATGCTGAACAGTCACTGTGTGTAAAGTCCATATGGGTAGGGGGCTACTGTTACAGTATTCCTGGTCATTTATGTGTTCAGTGGGTTTCATGACCTTTTGTTAGCAAGTCTGTATCCATGCAAACGTTACACTGATGTATAACCATACATGCTTGTTTAAATGTACGTTATTCTATGTGTGTGCTTGCAGCTGTATTTTCTTGCAAATGTGTGCCACGGCTTCTGGCCAAGTCACCCATCGTGGCGACCTATTTTCTCTCTTTAGATCCCAGACCACAACCTCTCTGTTTACTGCGACTCTGTCCCTTGTGCCTTGTCCCATATCCCATAATCCTTTGCAAATGTTCCAACAAGCCATGTTCGCCTAGTGTCTTCCTCATCTGTTCTACATTGCCAATTGTCCGCATCACCCCCTGCTATCTTCCTTAATCTTTGTCCAACTTGTTTTCCCCATTTTTCCTGTTTGTTTCTACAGTTTGTACCACTTCCATCTCTACTTGCTTCCACTCCTCTAATTCACCCTCATTCTATTTTTCATCCTCTAACCATTTTCACTTCACTCCACTCACCTTTATCTATCCCTATATTTCTGTTTTCTTTTAATTAAATTCCATTTCTCTGCAGTCAAATTCTGCATTTTCTTGCTATATCTTTCTGTCTGCTTCCTAACAGTAAGGGATGATTAGTGCAGAGGCCTCAACCTCATTAAAAATGGAAAAACAAGACATAACATACTGTTCTACTCCTCCACTGCTAATCACGTAGTTTTGCATATGGACATAGGGACACAGAGGAGGCGGCAGCTGTCGATTAGTGAGCTGACAACGGTTTGCTATAATGGCAGTAAAGTTGGAAAGATGTTCACAGATTCCAAGCTTCTGGATCAATATCAAAATCAGAATCAGAATCAGCTTTATTGGCCAGGTGTGACGGACACACGAGGAATTTGAATCTGGTACATCGGCTCTCAATGTGCAAAACAGTAAACCAGCATAAGGCTGTGTAATATAACAAAACAGCAGTATTAACATCAACAAACAGTGCAAACAATACAGAAAAAGCAGTATAAACAGACAGTAAACAAGGCAGCCAACAAAGCAATGTTCATTGAAATGAGATAAATAGAGATAAAACAGAGTACTTAAGAACTAGAGACCTGTACAAGTCTGTATAATAAATGTTGCTAAAATGCTAATGGCCCCTCTTTTGCTTTGTAGTAATGTAGACAACAAGCAGGGACCATCTACAAAGTGCAGCACTGAAAAAAGATAGGCCTACCTCAGAAATATTCAATAACTTTACTCTTACCCAGTGTAATGTTACCAAAATTACTTCACAATCAATGGTTACTGCTACTGGTTATACTACAACCCTTAGTTAGGAAAAATATGTTTTTTTATAATTTGGGGGAATTTTCATTGGTAAGGGGATGTCCCTACCAATGTTGAGCCCTTGCCACTAATCTTGCACCTTCACCCCCATCATCACACTCTCAACCCTCCTTCAGTGCTGGGTATTGCCTAGGCAGGAAAGCTGCTGTCTTCCTCTGCTGTCAATAGAAAATCTAGTTGAGTTGCTTTTAGTAACTTGACATTTTCTGTCTATTCCTGTGACTTGCCCCAAATTTGCAATGTGCTCTTTCACACAGCCATATCCACACACACCTGAACACATTGCTTGTTCCTGTTTTCAAGCTGTCAGTGTTTCTTTGTAAAGGAGCCTCTGGACTTAATTTTCACAATATGCCATAAATAAATTGGGTTCTGAATATGAATAAAATGAATTCTTTAAAAAAAAACCACATAAATGAATCCAAGTGTTTTGAGCATTAACCTAATGATACAGGAAGAAAATCTGATGCCTACTAGGTCCTGTAATGGTATATAAAATGCTACACAAAATGTCATACAGGGTGTATTGAATTCAAGTGTCTGGGAAATGACAGATTCTATCCTATAAATGGAGTCTCAGCTGAGCAGCCATTGTGTCTAGCAAATGTCCTAAGGTACAGCATGAAGCTGCTACCTGCTCACTCAATGCACATCACTCCAGGCAACAGGATGAGTAAAACTGTCACAGATGTGAACATACTTGAAATGTTAAAGCATCAGTACCACCTATTAAAACATATATCACATTTAGATGGGCACTCACACCCCTCTAGAACCCAACAACATGCTTCCAAGATGGGGGGCTGATGCTAACAATAACCAACCCAGGACACTGGGCCAGGCTACCAATCTCTGGTCCAACACCCCACCACCTTTTCTATGGATCTGACAGCCACAAAGGCCTTGCTTTTGTACTGCCAGCCAGCAAAAGCTCAGCTTCATCCAGCCCTGGAAACATGGCAGATGGTGGCAGGAGAGAACAGAAGAGAAGTGCGAAGAAGCTGTGTGTGTGTGTGTGTGTGTGTCTATGTTTGTGAGGCAGACAGAGACAAGTAGAATGAGAAAGAAGAAAGCCAGTGTAACCACACGCTTGCTTGCCTATGATACTGTCCTCATGACCTCTACGCTAGAGCTAAACAAATGGTTTAATATCTTTGCTGAAACTACACTGGTACCTATAGAAGCCAATCAGTAAAGGTCCACAAAGTTCAGCTAGCACAGATTTCATCTACACATCTTGTAGGTTGCTGTGTCCTAGCTGTTCCATGGTCGACCGCTCAGTCTTTTCCTTTCAGGGATCCTATAGGTTTCCATAATGGGCAAATAGAGGTTCTGCTCTTATATGAATGGACAGCTGATTAGTGGCATCAAACTGATGGCTCCGTGACAACAGCCTTCACACTGCCCATCTGTCGCAAATGAATACAAGTTTATTTGAGGCTATGACATGTATCTGGACAAAAGCCTTATTAAGTAATATTCAATTTTTTGACATGTATAAATTTTGCTTGTCTAGTGATTATCTATGTAACACTGATTACTTAGCTATTCAAATAAAAGCTTTTACAGATGTCAGGTCTTTACCAATAAAACTCTTTAAATGTTTAGAATATGACAAATTCTAATAACATGAAATTTGAAGAAAAGTTTGCATAATCATGCGAGATAAAATAGACAATCATATGGTCATATAAAAATGACTAAATTCTACATTTTGCTAACTACATGATGATAAAGGATTGTTGTAACATCCAGACTAACCCAACTAATCAGCTCTCACAGCTAACATCAGAATGGTTTATTAGAAAAAAATAATAGAACAGAAATACCAAGCAAAAAAAAGACTTCAAAGTACAACCCTCACTTTCTGGCAAATACAGTTAAAATAAACTCCAAGGCAAGGTGTCATCATAAAAAAAATAAATAAATAACCATGAGGACCTCACAGATATCCACTCTAAAGATTGATCTTGTTGTTACCTCTCTGCTCATTGCTTCATAATGCAAGACTCACCTCGGATGATGGACAGCTTGGCATTCACAGTGATCTCGCCCTCGCTGTTCTCAGCCACACATTCGTAGATGTTCTCATCACGTGGCGCTCGGAGAGGCTGGATTCTGAGTACGGCGCCGGCACCCTCATCGAACTCAATGGTCTGTGGGGTAAGGAATAGAGTTAGGTTAGACAGATGTGAAACTATAACAGAAACAGAAATACTACCTGTTTGTAACTTAAGGAGCCTACAGTACTCAAGGTAAGTACTACAATGAAGTACCAGAGCCAACGCTTTTTTTTTTTCAGGGATACAAAGATGAGTTTGATGAGTTTAATTTGTTAGTTTGATTGTTTAACAAATAATGTTACTAATGGTGTTTTTCCCTATCAGCACGGGACAGCTCTGCCAAGCTGAGCTGCATGGTGGAACCATGCTGAGCTGCTCTCGAGTCAGCACGGTTGTGTTTCCACTGCACCGTAAAACACATGATCTTCTGCATCTTGATCGTGTTGGACTGGTGTGAGCTGCTGAATAGCGACACATAACTCATGACGTCTGTGTCTTGTTACTAACTTGCAACATGGAGCACTCGATGTTAGGCATTATTTTAAATCTTGCTGCAATGAAATAATGACTAAAAGTGATGTCAGTGCGTGTGACAGTGTGGCGTTTTGAGAGAAGCTGTCCACATACCAGCATATGAAAAAACTACAGGTTTGAGTTCCCTGAAAACCAATACATCAAGAGCCATATATACTGAAACAAGAAATTGAGCCTCGTGTAAATGGCTAGAATTGAAATGGTGACACTTTTGAAATAATGACTCTACTTTTACTCTAATTTTGGATGGATGAAGTACTAGACAAGATGGCCAACCTGTCTATCAGTCTCACAGCAAACCTGTTCTTCCAATTATCTATCCCTCCTCAGAGGAGCTTACATCATCTCAACAAAGAGTTTGGTGCTGAAATCTCTAAGCAAAGCATGACTTTGAGATACACGAACAAGTCTTCAGCAGCCCTGCTGCTCTACTGCTGCACGTCTCAGGGCTAAGCTGCTAATTAGGCTAAAAACACTGCAGAGCACGGCATCGTGATCAATATCAAAGCAGCTGTCTAGAGGATAGAACAAAAAAATCAGAACTACTTCAAAACCTTCTTGCTTTTTTTTTTTATTTCATGCTAAATGGAGGAAGATATGTGTCCGTTCTGGCGGGATCTTTCATGCCCTTGGCTTTGTTTCCTATTTAGCATGCAGAAGAAGAGAATGGCTTTTTATTTTGTCCTCCATTGAGATGTTGTTTCTCTCTTGTCATTTTTTGCATTTTAACCCCCCACCCCCAGCCCCGTGGCTGCGTTCATGCTGCAGTGTGTTTCTGTCTATCTCTGTGCACTGCTGTCATCGTTATCGAAAGCAACTTTTTAATTAAGAAACACTGAGCATCAATCAAGACTTTTAGAGGAGCCATCTGGGATGCCTGCTGAGAAATGATCAACAAACATCATGAATAACGTACAGACAGACACGTTCACAGACAGGGCTACATGCAGGACAAAAAAAACGCAGCACTGGAAACAAGAATGTGACAATGGCAGAATCAGTCAAGTGCGAAAAGGACAGGGTTGGGGGAATGGGAGGGCTCTGCATTGCGGTACTGGGTGACCGTAGCTAATGATGGACTTGCACATCATTCAGAGGTTGGAGAAGCGAGTCCATGAAAAGATTGGCAGTTGATGTGCAGAGCTGTGAAAATGGTGGGTGAAAAAGGCAAATGAAAACACTCTTTTCAAAAAGACTGTGTGGGAACTCAACCACAGCAGAAGACTATGCTTGTAAAGTGAATATTGTGCAGGACGGTAATGACATGGGTGGGCAAACAAAGGTTATAAAGAGCTTCATGCTTTGACTGAAAAACTTGGCAAATTGTATGTTATGGATGTTAGTATTGGCTCAATGTAATGAAATCCTGTATGGTTATATGGTTTAATGTTTGTCACAACAAGGCCATATGTAAGATAACTACAGGGTTATTACATAACTATTGGTGGTGAACAACCTTTCTTTTTTAAACATCCTAACAGTTGAAAAACTGGTCTAATACCATTTACTGTGAGATATTAGCTTTAAATACTTTTATGTAGTGTTAGGGTAGAGTGACATGTATGGCCTTAAATGGCATAAAGTTGGCCTCAGCACCTATGCAGCACTTAGCAGCAGTGCGTATTATGGACTCACCTCTATGCGCTGCGAGTTAACCTTCTTGCCTTTCTTGTTCCAGCTAACCCTTGGCTTGGGGTCGCCCGTCGCTTGGCAGACAAAGGACACCACGCCCCCTGAAACACCAATCTGGTCAACGGGAACTTTAGTGAACCTCGGTGCTGCTGAGAATTAGGAAGATGGGGGAGGACAGAGAGACAGGCAGAGAAATATAGGGAGAAAGGGAGAAACAAACATTAGCACAAGCCATAAGATGGATGTCGCAGCAACTGAAGCTAAAGCTGCTCCTTTCAAGGCAGCACTGAATAAGTGTAATTGCATTTCTGAAAGGACAAATTAACCAAACGCCTATTTGAGTGCATACACATTCATCCACACAGAGACACATGTCTCTGCAATGTCACACAAACCTACACTAGCCTCGTTTTGCAACCCTTCCTGTATCTCATTCTCACTCTGTATCACACACCCACACACTGTGTTCTGCAGCAGAGCAGACTTGGATAAGTAAGGGAGATGGCCAATTTAAGTTTGGGAGAAGGACAAAATAAACAGCTTGACAGACAGGAGAGATAGATAGTGTGTATACTGTATGGATAGATTAGTCACTAAGGATAGTTGGTGGCCTGCCCACATCAAATGCCTCGAGATCTGATGACCATCGTGTGATTGAACCTGCTGTTCTACTGTGACAGGAGAGCCTCTTTACCACTGGGCCATGTTGTTTTTATGAATCACTAGCTGCAGTACAAACTTGGGCTGAAATAAATTACCGCCTTTCCTCATCTAGTATCTCAATTTCACTTCTCAGTCTTATGAAGCAGGGAATTTAATTGCTTATGTTGTGTCAAGGTGTTGGTGACTGCTATAAACTGTTGAAAAATAATTAACCCTTTTAAGATGGAAGTGAATCCCAGCCAAAATGTTTGAGGGTGCAAAAACCACATTTTGAGCCCTACTCAGTTTGCAACATGCGTGTGCTCTTTTCTGGGTTTGCACTCAGATTTCTTCACTGGGTTTTATATGAAATTCTGTCCCAGCAGAAAATTTTAAAAGCACACAAAACAAGTTGTGAGGGTTTTGAGTTGTTGAGAGTGAGGGAGGACAGAACTGTAAGCGTAACAGATGATTTCAGGAATCAGCAGAGATCCTCCCTCACTAAATGTGATTCTGTTCTTGCAAATCCATGGCTGTGCCCTCTCACATTCTGATTTGCAAACTGAATAATGCTCAAAACTTCTTTTGTGCATTTTCTAAACTTTTGCAACCGACAGACTTTCGCACAAAACCCAATGGAGAAATCTGACAGTGCAGAGACATAAATGAGAGTGCACATGGCCAGGATTACACTCCTAAATCTGATTCTGTCCTTACAAATCTGTGTCTGTGAGCTCTCAAATGCAGAGTTTCAAACTGAGTATCACTCGAAATGTGGTTCACGCAACCTCAGACATTTTGGTTGGATGTACTCCCATAATAGAAAAGTTTTATTTAGGTTGAAGCACAAAACAACTTAGGTTTAGGAAAAGATCATGGTTTGGGTCAAAATATCTACTTTGTTAAAGCTAGAAGGTCTTTGTACTGAGATTTTGTTGGATGTAGTTGGCTCAAGACAACAAGACCAAAACAAAAAAAGATGGTGAAAAACAGAATATACTGGGAAACCTTTTAACTCTGAAACATACAGATATGTGGGGATGATCAAACAGCCAGCGAATAACATCAAATTAATACTTAAGAGACCGTGGGTCTGCACTAGCCTCCAGGCACTGCTAAATGCATATGAAGGAAAGTTCCTGCACTCATGAAGTGGTAAAGCAAGATCGAGGGTAGGAGAATGAGGGAACGAGAAATAGTGTGCGACAGAAAAGAAGGCTGAGCGTGCTGTCTCAATAAAGCAGAGGCCCGCACAAACAAACACTATAAATATTTCTGATGCATACAGTATATAACAAAAACATACACAAACTAATTCACCTAGTAGTTAATGATCAGTTAATCTCTAAAGCTGGTTTTAAAGTTTACTAAAACAAAACAGAACTTTTTCCACTTAGAATATGTTTTCTAAAGGATGAGTGGATATATCTAAATTGGCTAACCCCTAAATATGAATGGGTGCCAGCACAGTTAACCTTGATTTTAAATGCTTAGGTGTTTATGAATACAGGATTATTGCAGAAAGAAAGCATACTGTATATTCTCATTATACTGCCCATGGTCACATGAAGATAAAACACACTTTTAACTAGAAACTCTCTATTATTGCTATAACCAACTGCTTCCTTTTCTTTCAGCAGCCCGAGCTGCTCACTTGCAGATGAGTGAGGCCGATCTTATCTTGCTTTGATTTTTGTCTGCTTTCTTTGTTCTTGGGTAATTTGATGTAATGAAATTCAAGGGGTGTGTGATTTCCACTGGGCATATTCTTGCTAAATGCTTACATGTTTTTATCTGACTGCTACATTAAAGTGTTTGAGTAAAATCGTCATACAGTATAAAAGGGCTGGACATTGGCAGACAACATGCTGAGCTTAAAAACAAACAAACAAACAAAAAAATCAGCCAAAGGGTAGGGGTGAAACTAACTTTTATAAGTATTAAAGGCCTGTGTTGGTGACAATCATTTTAATGTAAGAAATATTGATTCCTGGCTTTCTGATGTGTATAGATTTTTGCATCATGCAAAATACTTTTAGTCCCTTTTAAACCTTATTCTACATCTTTTAAAATAACCCCCAGTGAATTGAAAGGTTTCTTAGAAGCATGTACATTGCTCAACTTGACCTTCCTCTATCTAAATCTCTCTAAATCTAATTATGACAAATTTAGTTTATTTATGATACAAGTCCTGTATCTTTTCTCTAGCTCTAAGGAATAGGTCTACTTTATTTGTCTGGTGCAAAAAAAGAACCCCTAATAGGCATTTTACACTTTCAATTTCCCTTCTGAAACTTCACAGCACATAATCAGAATCAGAATCAGCTATACACAACACAGCTCCTTTGAGTTTGACCTCCCCTTACAATGCACTCTGTCAAGAAAGAAGAGGGATTTACACAGAGCAGGCCTGTGGCCATGATTGTGCTGAAGGCCACCACTCTTTGATTAGTTTTCTCCTGGACCATTTGACCTTTCCACACAGTCACCTTCTGCCTCTTTTTCCTCTCTTGCTTTATCAAATGAGAGATATGGATAATAAAAGTCTGTGCTGAATTTTGCTCCTGACAGATTCAGAATTGTCTTATAATGTGCTCTATATAGTTTTTGACATTACACTAAAGAACAGAGATGTTGCCTAGTCATAAAATGCACATCTGAATCCAGTGTGAAGGCTCTGGGATAGGAGTCTAACCCATAGCTGAAGTCTTTAAGTCACTATCTATTGCAAGAGCATTTTCTCTTTTCCAAACTTTATCTAGTGGAATTACTGATAAGGGTTTATAGCAATGGCACCACAGTGATGATAAGCTAATTCTTTAATTGAAATGTGTATTTCACTTAAACAGATGCTGCCATCAACTAATGCTGCAGCTCACAGTTCTCTTCTACTTATCTGATCTGTCATTTGAACAATAAAAATAAAGATTCAACTGTACTGCTGTGTCACTCCGTGCTGCCAGAGGACCTAACTATTCTTTTATTATATTCTGTGAACCTGGAGATAAACATGGAGACTTAATCAAAATACCATTATGGTCTGGGCAAAGTGGAGGCAGGGAGTGCAAAACTTGTAAACATCTCTTGGCATTTTGCAATGCAGTGATATGGAAACACTGCATCACAGCTACCGTGCATGCTAACAGGTTTTCAGATTAGCAAATAACCATGAGCCAGAAATCTGCTTTGTACACTCACAGAGTGCAGTAAACACCCTGAACAGCTCTGTTACGTTACAAAGATAAGATTAACACAACTGTTATACTAACCTATTATATTAGTTTTCAGGTTTCCTTATAAGCTGGTCCTTTATCTTTTTCCCTCACTCTTTACAGGAGACAGTTTTTGTTAAGCCCAACGGATTTTGAAATCCCTGTATCCGCGGGCTATAACATACGATACAAAACCCATCGTGGATCCCATGATGTGATAAATCCAGCTTGTTGTATATGTAACATCAATCTTTGTTTTTTTTCTGGTGGACAAATATTTGGCAGATACAGTACATGTTGTTATGCATTAAGGGATTACAGAGGGTTGTAATCCTTGTTGTTATGGGTTAAGGGATTACAGAGGGTTGTAATCCTCTTAATGTTCACAATTTTTCATGAGTCTGAGTCAAGTCAGAAGTCAGTTAGGTGTGAGTTACAAGTCAAGATGGAAATGTATTTATGTGGGACTCAGATGCAACTCAAGAGCCCATCTCTGGTGAAGAAGGGACTGGAAGAGGAGAAGAGAGACAAATACAGGAGGTCCAGGAACTAGAAGAGATCATGTGAGGGGTCTCGTTCCTTCTGCTTACGTCTGCCTGTAGTAGATGGTTTTCACCAATATATGCTAACCTGAATGTCTTTAGAAAATAATGGTGTGGTATTTGTTGTGCACAATAACCTTCAACTACATATGATATCCTGTTATCTCCTTAAAATATGAAAAATGCAAGTTTATTTTGAGGACCCAAAAACAACATGCTTGTGAAAAGCAACATTCAATAACCCATGAGAACATGGAGCCTTAAACTTTAAAGACTGATATTTACAACTGGACAATCAAGCTGCACAGAAGCAGATGGTGGAACATGAAAAGCTGCTCTGCAAAAGGAGAGAGAATAACAAACTGTGTAGGTTTATGTGAGAAAGAGAGATATAAAATCTCCATCACATAGAAGATGTGCCTCACAGTGGACTACAGAATGTATATCCAGCCCATATTTGACACATTCATATGCAACTGTCAAATGAATGATCGGGTCTGTGTTTCTGTTGTATGGAAACATCATCAGCATTATTTAACTTGCACCCAACACCAGTTAGAAAGAGCAGAGATGCCAGGTTTTATTCATTCAGACTGAGTGCCAAAATGTAATCCACTTTCCTGTGTGTGTGGGTGTCTGGGTGGGTGGGGGGTACTATAATGTTTTTTGTGTTTCTGTATATGTGTACAGTAAGGTGTGGTATGATAGAAGAAGGTGTGCCTACTGTTTGTGTGAATGAGTTTGTGTTTTCAT